GGTGCGTCACGGAAGGGCGGGGCTTGTGGGCGTCCCGCCCCCTCGTGGCCCCGCCCCTGAAGCTGGCTGTAGGCTGGGCGTGCACCTGTGCGCTGGGTGCTCTGGTGATACTGGGACATCCAGTAAAACGGGCAGACGCCTCACTTCGTTTATCGGGAGCCAGACTGGGACCTCCAGATATCTGGGTGATTGTTTCCCATTATGTGCGGAGGGGAAATGAGGAACTCGGGGAGCTCAGCCTGCTCTTTTGCGTTGCAGTCTTGGCTAGATCTGAGCAGTGGGCGCCCCAGGTTAGGAGATGTCAAGGGATACCCTTCCATGTCCCGGTGCCCACTCGACAGACCTCCTAGTGGGGTTCAGAATGAGCTAGCTGCTCCCTGGCGGCCCGGCAGCTCCCAAGTGCTGAGCACCTGCTGTGTGTCTTGTTAGGCAGGAGCCTCCTGTCCCCACACCTCGCTTTCAGGAGGGGCACAGGGTTTTTAAAAGTTTATAAAAGAGCAAGAGCTGAGAATGAGTGCATAGTTGGGGAGAGTGCCAGGCTACAGTGCAGGATGCAGAGGTCCAGCGGTGGGCAGAGGGCTGGCTGGCCAGGACTGGCGAGCCAAGGACTGAGGAAGCCACTGCGCTTGAAGCAGCACATTTGTAAGATCAGATCAGGGCTGTGGAGAGCAGATGGAGATGGCAGGACCAGAGCAGGGAGGCTGCTTTTCAGTCAAGCAGCATGGGCAGCTCTCCACTCCCTGTCCTGCAGGCTCACCAGTAACCACAGGGGCTATTTAATACTGTAAAATTGAGTCCCACCAGGTGTGGTGTTGCACACTTGTCGTCCTAGCACTCTGGGAGACTGAGGCAGGAGGACAGCAAGTCTGAGCCCAGCCTGGACAACCTGGGCAAAAGTAAAAAGAGTTGTGTCTCACTGTAAAGGCCTGAGATTCAATCCTCAGTACTTAGAGAAGCAGAAGAGGAGGAGGAGGAAGAAGAAAATGAGCTCCTCAGTTCTATTGGTTACATCTTCTGGTCAGCCTCTGTGTGTCCAGGGTAGTGCAGAGAATGCTCGCACTTACACCAAGTGCTCTGGGGTAGCATTGACCTCAGGGCAAAGTAGGGCAGGTCAGGGAGGGCGTTGAGCCTCAGAGAACACAGTTTCCCAAGGTTGTGACCTAAAGAAGTAGGGGCCTTGGGCAGAAGTCATGGCTGTTTCCACTTCTGATGGCGACCTGGCCATGTGCTGCCTTGAACTTCTGTGGCTTCTGCCCATGCCTGAAGCTTGATGGCTGACAGCTGACTGTTGGCGCTGTTCTGGACCAGCCCCTGAAAAGAGGTCTTAATTCAAACTGTTCCCCAGACCTGCACAGAAGTAGAAGATAATGGTCTGGTACCATAGACTTTAGGAATGAGGTCTTGGGGGCGGCTTTGTTTACTGCTTCTGAGAGAAACAGGGCTTCCATGTCTGGTTTCAGGCATCGAGAACCTTCCCTGTGAACTTCAGAGGAACTTCCAGCTGATGCGGGAGCTGGACCAGAGGACAGAAGGTGGGTTCTGCTAGGCCAGCCGTTCTCAAGGCCAGGGGGGCTGCAGGGGATGTTTGCTTGGCAGACAGTCTGGAGGGGACCTGGTGTAGCAGGGCCACTGCCCACAGGCTCAGGTCTTGTAGACTCAGGTGTGGTTTCTTGGATTCTTTTTTGTTTTTGGTACCAGGGATCGAAGTTAGAACCTTGTGCTTGCAGGGCATGCACAGTGCCACTGAGCTAAATTCCTGGTCCCACCCCTCCCTTTTTTAAACAAAACTTTTAACTTTTATTGGTACATTTTAGATATATATAATGATAATGTTCATCATAGAGAATTTGTACTTGTACATGATATATCTTGCTTTTTTCCTCCATTCCCCTTCTTCCCCTCCTTATTTACAAAAGCTTTGTTTCCATTTTTTCCTTCTATTCTCTTCTTTTTTCCTTGTCCCTTTCCTTTCCCTCTCCTCCCTCCCTTGTTCCCTTTCTCATTTGAACATTTTCTTCCCATTTCCCAATATCTATTATACATTTTGGTCCTTATTTCCACTTTTGGTTTCTCACATCAGAGAAACACATCACAGCTTCTTAGCTGTTGTCTTTTAGCCAAATATTTGTTGTCTTGTTTCTTTCCTTTGAAAAACTTCCTATTTCCAAACTGAATTGGTACCCCTTATCCAAAATACTTTGGATTAGAGTTGTTTCAAATTTCTGATAGTTTCTAATCTGGGAATATTTGCATATACATAAACAGCTCTCTTGGGGCTAGGACCCAAGTCTAAACACCATTTATATTCTGTGTACACCTCAAGTACTGGCCTGAAGGTAATTGGGTACAGTATTGCTGATGATTATGTGCGTGAAACAGGGTTTGCATACTCTGAGGCCTGTAACTGAGACCCGTCCTGTGGAATCATCCATTTGGGGCACAGAATGTCTTAGACTTTGGAGTGTTCTGGATTTTTCTGATTATGGAGGGTCCTCCTGTAGTTTAAAAAGTCAGAGAATACTTTTTGACCTCTTGGTACATAATTCTCTATTCCTAAACATGTTTTTGTTGCTCTTTCTTATTTCTAGTCAGGGGTGGGCATGGTGGTGCATACCTGTGATCCCAACTGCTCAGGAGGCTGAGTCAAAGGATCGCAAGTTTTAGGTAGCCTGGGCAACTTGGTGAGACCCTGTCTCAAAAGAAAAAGGGGCGGGGATGTAGCTCAGCATTCCTTAAGTTCAATACCCAGTTCCACAATAAGCAAACAAAAAGCTTAGTTCCAGTTGGTTTCAGAGTTTATTTAGTTAAATAAATAAAATTGTGGCAGTGAGGACATCCCCTCTGTTTGCCACCTTTTCCCCACCTTGGTCTGTGATCTCCTAGAGTTTGTGATGAGGCCAGACGGTTGGGTCCTGAGCAGCAGTGTGAGTGATGCCATGTGCTGTGCTTTTCTTTCTCTCTCTCTTTGTCTCTCCCCCTCCCCCTCTCCCTCCCTCCCTTCCTTCCAGCTCTCTCCCTCCCTCCCTTCCTCCTTTCCTTCCTCCCTCTCTTCCTCCCTCCCTCCCTCCCCCTTCCCCTCCCTCTTCCTTTTCTTTCTTTTTCTTTTTATCTTTTTGGTACCAGGGATCGAACTCAGGACCTTGTACTTGCTGTTGTGCTTTTCTTAATAACCATGTTTTTCTTGGGGTTACTAGTGGACCCATTTGTCCAGGTGGTTTCCCATGCTTGCCCTCCTGCCCTTGCTAAGAGCTCGGTGCCATCTTGTCACCAGTGTGTCTTCAAGTTCGCGTGGGTTCCTGACTCTCTACCTGGTGTCTCAGCCTGCTGTGCAGGTGGCATCCTGGGTTTCTCCCCAGATCTTCCTAAATGTCTTGCTTTGATTTGTTCCTTTGTTTTGGTGACTTTTTCAATGCAGTTATCAGAAAAAATAAATTTATGGTGATACATTTTACACATCTGAAGCTGTGTCTGTCCAGCCAATGACCAGTGGTTCAGCTGGGTGCTGATGTACAGGCGGATGAGGCTTCTCTCAGTGGATGGCATTGCTGGGCTCACTTCTAGCTTCCCTACTGCTCTCGGGAAGTCTGATACCAATGGATTCTTGATCCTTTTATAAGAGATTTTTTTTTTTAACCTGTGCAGAAGCCTTTGGAATCTTCTCTTTTACCTGAGGTTTTGAGTTCATGATGATGTGGTTTCCTGTGGGACACTTCTTGTGCATCATGTCAGGCCTGTGTATGCCAGTGAAGTGCTATGGCTTTGTGTAGGTGCAGCATCTTGGGAACAGGGCCTCCTATTGTGAAATGGGCTTACAGATGGGCTAGCAGATATCACCAGACAGACCTCTGTTCTGCTCCCTAGGTGGAGAGATGGCGTTGTGTGCCTTCTGTGTCATGTCCCTGAGGCCTGCAGCCCTGAGGTGCTGATGGCCCTTCCTACCTGTGACCATAGATGCCCACTCTCAGCAAGTGCTTGGGGTTGTGTCTTGTGGTGCTGTGGATCAAACTCAGGTGTTCTAATCCTGAGCTACAGGTGGGACTTGAACTCTGACCTTTTGCCTCTGCCTCATGCTGGAATCACAGTTATGCACCACTGTATCTGGACCTACCTTGGGTGTTACTGGAAGTGTGTAGCAGGGATCCTTGATTTGTGCTTTTGTGGTAATAACCCACATAGCTATGTGCAGTTATGGTGTGGGCTGCTGGTGGCACTCTGTGTGTGAGGCACATGCTTGCTTCCTGGTCTTACTGGGGACTGGACATTGGGTTGCCCATTGTTTTCTGTGGTCATAAGTGTTTTTCCATGTGTTTCCTGGTCCCCAAGCACCAGTTGTCTTTGGGGTATGTGAGAGCAGCATGACCACACGATTTAGTGTCCAGACAGTGCTGGAGAGTTATGGAGCACTGTGCTCACTTGCTGGACAGTGCCTACACTGGGCCTGTTCTGGGTGAGTGCCTCTGGTGATAGCAGCTGCCTGGGCTTGTGCCCATCCACCTCTTGCACAGAGTTGGCTGCCACCCTGGTAACATGTGGTGTGTCTTATGTGGGGGCCAGCTTTTTACCTGTGTGTCTGCCAGATAAGAAAGCGGAGATCGACATGCTGGCAGCAGAGTACATTTCCACTGTGAAGACTCTGTCCTCGGAGCAGCGTGTGGAGCATCTGCAGAAGATCCAGAGTGCCTATAGCAAGTGCAAGGAGTACAGTGATGACAAGGTGCAGCTGGCCATGCAGACCTACGAGATGGTGAGGGCGGTGGCCTGGGGTGGGGCACTGGCATGGTACCAGGGCAGGAGTGGCTACTGGGTGAACTTCTAGAGGAGTCCATGTTAGGGAACTCTTACCTAGGACTAGACCTGTGATTTGACCATCTGGGCCCCTTTTGTTTGGTTGGGGAGCCATTGTTTTGATTTGTGTTATTGCTTTCTGTTCTGCAGTGCTGGGGACCCATGTTAGGTGAGTTTTCTGCCCCTGAGCTGTATCCCAGTCCTAAGCCATTGGCTTTGTTGTGTTATTCAACATTTTGTTTTTTTGTCAGCTGTAGATAAAGTCCTAGAATTATTCACTTCGGTTCACCCCATGGGATCAGGCCATTACCTTACAGTGCCCCTGAGATCATGTGGCACCTGAGAAGGAGAAGCCATTGCCCTGTGCTTTTGATGCCCTGCCATGCCCTATGCTGCCAGCCCTTCTGAAAGGAGCAGACTGCTTTGTTCGTGGGCTGATCTCCCCAGGCCTCAAAAGAGGTTACTTCAAACCCAGAGTGGTGTTGGCCTCCTATAGACTGGCTCTGGGGTCTGGTTAGCTGTGAGGACCCTGATGACAGTCAGGACTGTGTGCTCTAAAGTCTGTGTGGCTGCTCAGTGGGTTGCTCATCTTATCGTTTTGACTATGCTGTCTTATGTTTCTTTTTTCTTCCAGAGGCCAATGGGGGTATTATTTGTATTTTTCTTTTTTAGTCTTTTATTTAGGAGAGTACATGTTCTTCAGATTTTAGATTAGGACCTAAGATCAAATGTCTCCACCCCTTATTCTAATGCATTTTATAGCTCTGTTTCTTGTCATTTCTTGCACCTGTGTTTTCCTAAGTTGGACTCCCTCTGTGGAGTGCTCGGGGTGGTCTGGGGAGGACACGTGAGAGGGCAGCAGGTGCCTCCCAGGATTTCCTCGGTGTGGCACAGATTGCAGAGAGGCTTTGCATGTCCTTGAAGTCACCTGTGAGTGTCCCTCCACAGGTGGATAAGCACATCCGGAGGCTCGATGCGGACCTAGCTCGCTTTGAGGCAGACCTGAAGGACAAGATGGATGGCAGTGACTTTGAAAGCTCTGGAGGCCGGGGGTTGAAAAGCAAGTCTGCCGACGTTTCCTTTGTTTTACTGCCATTAACTATGTGATTTTGCTGAATTTTGTCTAATAAATGTATCAGGAACTTGGAGGTAAAAATGCCATGTTCGAGTGACTTGTCCTGTTTCAGTGAATTCTGTGGAAATAATGTGTTTTGTTACTATTTCTCAGAAGGTCGGGGTCAGAAAGAGAAAAGAGGCTCCCGTGGTCGAGGCCGGAGGACATCTGAAGAAGACACTCCAAAGAAGAAGAAGCACAAAGGAGGGTGAGATGCTCACCCACTCCTGGGAAACATGCTATGCATGCTGTGGGGCAGGGATTGCTTGCTGCCCACTGCATCTCTGGCCTGGGGTTTTGTATGTGTGGCTCATCTGTCCTTGGGATGGCCGGTGGCTGCCATTGTCCCCAAGAATGGTCTGACTCCTGAAGCCCTTGGTGCCAGGAGGATGTGTCAGTGCTGCTGCGTCCCAGCCAAAATGTTCATCTTAAAAAAGAACCCTGGTCTGGGAATTTAGCTCAGTGGTTCTGCTGCCTGCCTTGCAAATGCAAGTGCAAGGAGACAAAAAAAACAAAAACGAAAACAACCCCAGTTCCTTTATACTTCCAAGTTGTACACAGATATAGAAGCCTCACAGCATGGCCTGTGGGTGATGAGTAAGTCACTGTGTGACCATCACCTGCTCTGTGACTGAGGGCTCCGTTAGCTTTCTCATCTTAACCTCTTCCCTGCACTGCCAATGAACATGATCTGTACTGCCCTAGCAGGTTTTCTCTGCTCCTTTAGAGTCCACTTTCCCAGGTGTGTATTCCTACCCATTGTAGTCTTGCTGGCTTTATCTAACATTCATTTATTTTGCTTTTTGAAGTGAGGTCTTGCTGCATTCCCCAGCTCCTGGGCTCAAACCATCCTCCTGCCTCAGCTTCCTGAGTAGCTTATGCTACAGGTGTATGCCACTGTGCCAGGCTTTTTTAAAATTTAACCTTTTATTATATTTTATTATTTTTTTGTGGTGCTGGAGATCAAGGCCTTCCATATGACAGTAGTGCTCGACCACTCTATCCCCAGTGTTCACTGAATCCCTTAAATGGATGTCATTAAGAGGGATTAATGTTCAGGGAAGTGTTCTAAGTTTCAGTGTTAGTTCCATGCTGCATCTAGTTTCTTTAAGTTCTGAAAGTTTTCATGCCTTCCCTCCTTCCCTCCTTTTCTTCTTTTGTTTTCTCCTTCTTTTGTGGTATTGGGGATTAAACCCAGGGGTTTATGCATGCTGGGTAAGTGCTCCACTACTCAGCTACATCCCCAGCTCTTTTTAAAATTTATTATTATTAATTAATTAGTTTATTTATTTTTGGTTTTTTGAGACAGGGTCTCAAAGACTGCTCTGGAACTCACTATGCAGCCCAGGCTGGTCTTGAACTCACAGCCATCCTCCTGCCTCAGTATTTTTGTTTTTGAGACAGGATCTCACTATGTACTTCAGTCTGGCCTTGAAATCACTATTTAGTTCAGGCTGACCTCAGACTCACAGTGATCCTCCTGCTTCAGCCTCCCTCCTGCCTCCATCTTCCAATTATTGGGATTATAGATGTGCACTACCACACACAGCATCTTATTTTATTTTTTATTTTGAGACAGGATCTAAGCATGTTGCCTAGGCTAACCCTGAACTAGCAGTTCTCCTGCCTCAGCCTCCCCAGTAGCAGGGATTATAGGGATACACCATCAGACCTACCTGGGTTTTAATTTTATTCCATTTAAAATATTTAAACATTTTCATTGTAATTTCTCTTTATGTAAAGTTTGTGTACAAGTATGTATCTTGATTTTCAAATAATTTGGGATTTCCAGATAGCTTCTTTTTTTCTTAGTCCTGGGAATAGAATCCAGGGAGTACTGAGCTGCATTCCCATTCTTGGTTTTTATAAATTTTATTTTGAGACAGGGTCCCACTAAATGGCCCAGGCTAGGCTCCAACTTGCAACCCTCTGGTGTCAGCCTTCTGAGCACTGGATTATAGGTGCCTTCTGAGTGCAGGGGGCAGCCCACCTGGCCCATGGTGTGATGTGTGGCTGCATGGTGGTGGCTGCAGTGTGGTGGTCACACTGCAGTTTGGAGCATGGCCTGTGGATGGAGTTCCAGACAGGCTGTGGCTCGACACCCAGATGTCCACTGGGATTGGAGGGATAACAAGGGTGGTATGTGCTGGCAGTGGGCAGCTGGGCAGGTGACAGGCCCCTGAGAGTTAAGAAGCTGCTGTGGTCTGTGGTTTGGGGGTAGAAGTGCCTGTGGGGGCTCATGCTAGCCCGGGCACAGGACATCCTGGCCTTCTCAGGGAAGAGGGCTCAGGTCAGGTTGGTGGTGGGAGCAGGCAGGTTCCCCAGGGTCAGGTGGTAGCAGGAAGAGCGCTTCCCCCACAGGGAGGGGGCAGGAGGCTGAGGTGCCAGACCAAAGCAGCAGCACCCCTTGCCCAGGACACCCTATTGGTGCCTTGAATAGAAAAGTAGCTGTGCCATGTGGTGAGTGCTGCCTGCTGGCAATCTCTGTTATGCCCACTGTGGCTGCACTGTGCCTGGGCTGTTGTCTGGGGACATCGCTTCAGTTGACAGTCATGCGTGGCCCTGCAGCTGTCAATGTTTGGTTGCAGGCATGGGGCTTTGGTTGGAAATGCACTGTGTTAACAGACTCTGGGAACTTCCCTGGTGAGGAGATTGGAGTGAGCTTAGGAATGGCGAGTTGTTGCGGGCCCATATAGGTGTTATCCTTGGATGCGACCTTGTTCTTGTGGTCTGTGCAGGGATGAGGCCAGTGTTCCTCCCACCGTGTGTGACATCTTTGCTACCTCTGCAGGTCTGAGTTCACTGACACCATCCTGTCTGTGCACCCCTCCGACGTGCTCGACATGCCTGTGGATCCCAATGAGCCCACGTACTGCCTGTGCCACCAGGTGTCCTACGGGGAGATGATTGGCTGTGATAATCCTGACGTGAGTCTGGGTCCTTTGAGCCAAGGTGCAGGGGCCAGATGTGGGCTGGGGCAGGGTTGAGAGTGTATGTCCTACCTTCCCCACATCTGACATGCAGAGTGCTTGGTGTGACCACACTGTCCCTTGCTTTGCAGTGTCCAATCGAGTGGTTTCACTTTGCCTGTGTGGATCTCACCACGAAACCCAAAGGAAAGTGGTCAGTATGGGGGTGCTGCGGGGTGCCCTCTGCCCACTCCCACAGAGGAGGCTCTTCTTGGCTGGGCAGGGGGCTGGTCTGGCTCTCTGGGTGTAGCCGGGTACCCAGTGTCACTGCAGCACTGGTCCTGGCTCCTGGGCCGGGTGAGCTTGCAGGGACCTTGCCCGATTGCCCAAGGTACAATTATCTGCATTGGTGCCCATCAGCCCTGAAGAGCAGCCATGCTGGCCCTGCAGTGGGGACAAGATCACTTTAAGAGGATGAGGAGTATGGGTTCTTGTGCCAGGGAAAGGCAGGGAGCAGGTGGAGAGCATCATTTGGCACACAGATCCCTGCGAGGTGCTCTGCCTGAGAAATGGTGCAAGGGCTTGCACTGTCCCAGCCTGGCCTTCAGAGGGCAGTGGCACCTGCTGAAGGTGTTCCTGAGTTTTTACGATGAAAGCCTGGAAATGGGTACATGTTCTCAAAAGGCAACTGTCGGAATGCTGCCTTCCTCACATGGAGCACCGTTGGCTTGCTGTGGCCGTGTGCTTGCTTGCTGTGTAAACCGAAGCTCTCGAAGACCCACATGTGGTTGGTGAGAGTGAATTATCCTCTGGTGTTTGGTGCAAAGACCACGGAGGGAGTATAGGGGTGGATGCTGTGTTGCAGCAGGCTCTTAGCCTGTGATGGTGATGGGAGCTCTCTTGTGGGGGCATAGGTGACCATGTAGCACCTTACCTCATGTTTGTGGCGATGCTGGAGTTTCCCAAGAGAAGAGGTAGAGCTGCTGCCCTCTGTGCTGGAAACTGTAGGACAGCAGGTGGTGGGTGCAGCAGAGTAGGGGCAGTGGTTTCTTTGTGGTCTCTTTCTTTTGTTTGTGGTACTAAGGATAGAACCCAGGGCTAGGCAGGCTGTGCCCCAAGCTATACCCAAGCCCTCAAGTGGCCTTTTTTAGACCACTGCAAGTGGGCTGCTCTCTCTGCAGTGAGACAGGAACTCTTCACTGACACAGCTGCCCACACACCTGTACCACCTGTCCCCCACACCTGCAGCCTTGTCATACAGAGGTCCCTGGAGGTGATGTTAGTGAGTTTACTCTGCATAGGGACTGCATTAGTTGTCATATTGTCCTCATGTGTCATGAGCAAACCAGAGCTTGCTCCATCCAGAGAACTAGAGGTCTTTGTGAGTTGTGTAGTTCATAGGGCCCAGCCAGCTGAGGCAGGGGCCTGGGCTCAAGGCTCTCAGGACATCCAGCTCGACTGGGTACATCTCCACAGTGGCATAGTAACCCTGTACCCAGTTACCCAGAGAAGACCATCCTAGTCCCTTTGATCTCGAGGACGTTGCTGAAGTGAGTCCGTCACCTTCAGGACACGTGTGGGACAGCAGCTTACAGGGCAGCTTTTCCAGGTGGGATGGCCATGCCCACTGTGCTAGCATCTGACCTCTGGCTCTGTCTGTCCAGAGTCCACCTGCCTTGGACCAAGTAGTGGAGTCTGGTGGCTGCACTGGCAAGAAGGACACAGAGGCCGACCCCTGTGCCTTTCTCTCCCAGGTTTTGCCCACGTTGTGTTCAGGAAAAGAAGAAGAAGAAGTAAGGAAGAGGCTGTGCGCCCAGATCGAAGAGCAAGTTAATATATTCCTTCGTGTTGCAATATTTTCTTTCAATTTTAAAACTACCTTATTTTGTCTGATATTTAAGAACTTAGTGGCCAGTTGTAATTCTGGATATTTCCTAAAACAAACCACTGCCCTGTGGGTACTTGTGAACTTGGGCTGCCAGGCACCATGCACATTCTAACCTGGTTCACTGCCACCACTCTGCTACTGGAGTGTCTCCTGCAGTTCTCTGGGACCATACACAGACCTCTGTGAGCATACTTGTCACTCCTGAGCTGACCTGACCTCGAGGATGGGCCCTTGGCAAGGCCACTGCTGCCGTCCTGGCCAGGCTGGCTCTTCTGGGAGGAGGTGGCCCTGCCCTACTGTGCACTTCCTCTTTAATGTGGACTCCGGCCCTCTGGGCTTCACCAGAGTAAGCACTCCTGTTGGCCCAGGCTGTCGTTTACCATGACCGGCACCATCACATGGTGGCCTGGCAGCCGGCGACATTCCTTCCGTTCCTCTGGGAATCCCTGCTGTTTTTACTGTGAAGATGAAATTAGTCTAATTGCATGAAGATCGTGGGTCTTCTGTGTCTGTGATGTGAGTCTGTCTCCTGGGGCTGACTTTATAACTTGTGCTGCCTACTGCCAGGCCTACAGCTCGCCCCAAAGGGATGGCAGTTCTGCAGCCTGGTGAGTGATTACAGTGCTCGGAAATGATACCGGACTGGAGTTGGAAATGGAGTGTACTGTTCGTTCAGCCACTATTTGCCAAGTCAGTGTTGAGCTGTCTCTGTGGTGGAGTTGGGGAAAATGTACACATTTGGTCTGATGAGTGACATTGTGACTGTCCCTCCAGTGTAGCCTCTGAGACCCCCCCAGACCCCAAGATCTTCTCACACACTCTCCACCTATAGTGCCAGAGAACCCATGGAAGAGTGTTCTGTCCTCACCAGAGGCATGTGTTTGTGTCCCGTGAGGGCTGCCTGTCTAATATCCCTCCCTCACTTTCTAGTGTTCTGCCAAGGACAGAAGATGGCAGGAAGGTGCTAGTATGGGGCCACCTGCATGGTGTTGCACCCCATATTCAGCTCATGCTTGCAGATGCGGACAGGACCTTCGAGCACCCCTGGGTGGGGAGTCCAGGCCTCCGGTTCTTAGTGCAAAGCCCTGGCATGCAATCTCCAGGGGAAGCCTTGGCTGGGCTTGCTCTGCTGTGGGGGCAGTGAGTTGTGGGTGCTGACCCTGCCCATGCATTTGTTGCTGGGCAGGTGAGGGTGGGCAGTGGATGGTTGACAGCAATCCCAACTCATCCTTTTGGTAGTCCTCAGGCCAGAAGGAGCTTCTTAAGTATCTAGCCCAGCCTTGGGTTAAGAGGGCTGCTCAGTCTCAGCTGGATGCATTTCATTTTATAACTTAGTTTGTATGCTTTTTGGCGATTGAACCCAAAGAGTGCTGAGCTATGTCCTCAGCTCTTTTCAAAATTTTTAAATTTTGGGACAGAGTTTCACTGAATCATTCAGGCTGGTCTCAGCAATCTTCTTGCCTCAGCCTCCTAGACTGCTGGAATTACAGGCACGTGCCACCATGCCTAGCTATAATTTAGCTTTTTTCTTTTTTTGGACACAAGTGTTTAGAGATTATGGAGAAACAATTGTTTCTTCACTGTTATTTTTTGGGAGAGGTGAGGTTAGAGATCCATCCATCTAGGGCTTTGATGTATTTGTTATTGTGTTGTGAGCATAGGTAGCTTGCCATCAGACACTGCCCAATGGTGGCACCAGAGCTGGCTTAACACCTATGTGTCCTCCTGGAATGTGCCACCATTGCTAGGTGAGTGGCACTTCTATTGAGGTCCTTGGAGGCAGGTGGCACTCTGCCCAGGAGCAGGGCCTTCTGTGTTTCCTGCATGTCGTGCATCCTGCTTGCCACTGTGCAAAGTCTGTGTTGACTTTTGGCCTTTCACAGGTTTCTGTGATTGGTTTTATTGCTTATTTTTGCCACTTATGATATCATTAACATACATCTACCTTTGGAAAAATGCAGAAAATGTGAGTAGAATTGGAACACTCCTTGGGATGTTGTTTGGATGCTGACCATACCTGTCCTGGCTTTTGCTACTGTCTGAGAGTGGGATGGACCCTGGAATGGGCCTGGCTCAGCTGGGGCTGGCGCTGTCCGAGTGCTGCTCCACAGGACTGGCAGTTCCACCCTTGCATCACAGTTGTCCTTGGACGCCATGCCTATCAGGCTGGGCCTCCCACTGCGGTGGCTGTGGACCCCATTCTGGCTTTTGGACTGAGGGGTCTGGGCTGAAGCCTGCATGTCACTGTGGTGGCTTTATCCTCCCTGGTGTGGGATTCCCCTATAAGTAAGGAATGTTTTACTCCAAGGAGGACAGATCACTTTCCTAGTTCTCAGTGTGCAGTTTGAGGATTTCAATCACTTACTTAGAAGAAGGATGCTGCATTGAAGAAAAGGTTGTTCAGCTGAGCCCTGCCTTCAAATTTGTAAATGTGAGATCAATATCAGCTAGGCTGAGGGGTGGCAAGGAAGTGCCACCCACACCTCACCTATCCCTGGGAGCCCTTGCAGTGTCTGTCCGGGGAGCAGCTACCCCTGTGACCCAGGGACAGGGGTCTGCCATGTGTTGCTTGTGGAGGTGAGGTTACACTGGTGTGACAAGACACAGTGGAGAGGTTCATTACAGACATTGATGATGTAAGACTTTCCTGGATGTTTAGTGACAGGATTACTATGCTGAGAGGAAGTCTAAGCAGATGCCCCAGGAGCCCATGAAGTTCCTCCTCAGTATGTACTTTGTGGTGTCTTTCTCCACCGTATTTCACCCAAAAAGATGATGCAGCTTTAACACGAATGTCATGTTTTATTTTCAAGGAATTGTTATCTATTATGACCCCTTTGTAAAGGAAAGATATTATTGTAAATCTTTTTATTAAATAATGTAAAGATGTATATCTGTATTTTTGGATCATGTTATAGATTATGGATATATTGTTTAATAAATAAAGTATTTTTTGGAACAAACATTTGAAAAGCATCATTGTGGGAAATAGGTGCAGCCTTTCTGTGTCATGCCAGAAGTAACACTTGTGCCTCACATCAGCTTTGGAGGCTTAGGTGCTGACCAGAGGAGAGTAGTTCAGGGACTTGGTGAGCACTGGGCCTGGCAGGTCTCTAGGCCTCGCCTTGGTTGGGTGCTCAGGAAGTCAGTGGGCAGCACTGAGCTCCACTGTGGGCTGTGTCAGAACTGGCTTCCAGGCATCCACAAGGTCTGTGTGTATGGGGAATGCTGGGAAATACCGTGGTCTTTCTGAAGGAGCACTGGGGCTTTCTTTGGACAGGGCTTAATAGCTTTCTCATAGTTCTGAAGCTTTGAAACCCTAGGTTGGTGCCTTCTGGGCTCTCCTTTGGCTTGCTTTCAGCTGCCTTTGCATAACAAACTGGAATCACTGTGCTCCAATTGTAGGACAGTACTTAATTACATTCATGTAGGCTCTGTCTGCAAATATAGTCACACTGGGGTTCAGGTTTCCATGAAAGAACTGGAAGGGAGAGACAGCCTGTAGCTCAGTGGCATTTGTCTAATGTGCACCCCCCTGAGTTCAAGTCTCAGTACTGCAAAAAAAAACCCAAAAAACAAACAAACAAAAAAAACCATTTTGGAGGGGACACAAACCTAACTTGAGTGAGTGGGACTCACGGTATTTCCTTAAGCAGTGTTGACACCATAAACAGCGGTTGTGATGAGTCACATCCTCTCATCCACCAGCCAGGTGAGACCTGGTGTCCTCCCTGGAAGAGGAGGTGGGGTCAAGAGGAAGGGCCTGACCCACTACTGCATGTCTGTATTTTGCATGCACATCCCAGGATACCTGCAGCCACTCACCAGGTGAACATATCCTGGGAAGGGTCAGCCAGTTCTCTTCTGTGGGTGGGTGGTAGTATTGGCTCTGAAGTGGTGATAAGGTGGCAAGCAGCCTTTGAGGTGCCCACACACCTCTGGCCTCTTGCTTGGGTGTAACACACACGGACATTTCTGTCATTCTCATTTATTTATTGAGGACAGGGCCTTACTGGGTAGCCAGGCTTAGCCTCAAACCTGAAATTCTCCTGCCCCAGCTCCTAAATGCTGAGATTGACAGGCCTGTGCCACCACACCAGTTAGACGTAGGCATCCTTGACAGCCACAAAACTCCCATGTGGGCCTGTAGGGAGAGGACTGTGTGGACATGTCCTGACCAGGCTACACAGGTGTCCTTGACCTAGAAGATGCCAGGGTGACGTGCTTGACACACCTTGACCTACCTGGGCAGACCCTAGGGGTACAGTCTGTCAAAGGCACAGGTGCTGCCTTCACTTGCAGCTGTGGCTCTAGACACGGCAGTGTCCTCCTGGCACATGATGCAGCTGCCAAGCTCTCATGTCATTTTCTCCATGCCAGTTTGTAGGTACGTACACCAGGACCTGCTGGTTTCCTTGACAAAGTGACTGCACCTCCACAGTCTGTCCCAGCCCCCTCCGTGGCTCTCTTGCACTCTGCCCCAACCTGGTTCAGAGATCCAAAGGGTGTGTGTGTGTATTGCTGGGGAGCAAACCAAGACCTCCTCCATGCTAATCAAGTTGTCCCTCTAAACCATTTGCCGTCCACACAGTGACAATAGAATAAGGTAAGCCAGGAGGAACAGGGACTGGTGATGGGAGATACGCCCTGCTCTAAATACTGGGTACCATCACCCAGGATTGTGGGAGCCACTGTATTCTAAGGTTTAAGATGTGGAGGCTGAAAGCAATAGGGAAAGTGGAGGCCTGGGAGGGGCAACACTCCCAGGGGAGTTTCAGCCATTCTAGTGTCTTGAAGGGGGTGGCTGTGGAGCAAGGGTGCAGCTGCTGAGGAGTGGGCTTTGTGGCTAGCCTCAAGAGCTTGGTGGGGGGACACTCAATGGAACTGGCTTGACCTCTGAGGAGGTTCCACATGAGCCCCGGTCCTGGGCCTTTGACAGGAGATTGCCTGGACTTTGTTACTCTTGCTGCCTGAAGGACATCAGCTTAATGGATAGGGCACCAGGGAGCCAAGAATCCGGGTAGGGAGACAGAGACCCCTAGGGAGAAACCTAGGGGAGACAGAGACCTCTGGAGATAGACACGTATAGACAGACCCAGGGGAGACAGACTCCTACGGAAAGGGGCCCACAGTAGGACGCAGGAGTGGGCTTTACCGGCTTGGTCCTGGCTGATAGACATGGGCCGGGTAAGGGATAGGTTTGGAATAGGTCGTGCCGGGAAGCCTGCTGGGTGGAACTGGACTCTAGTCCCAGCGCTTTGGGACTCTGGACACACGGAGGGAGGGACCCAGGGAAGCTGATCCGCGGGAAGGAGTCAGTGCGCAGGCGCTGCTCGGCCCCGCCCTTCTCTGTGCGTCGCAGGTCCTGAGGCAGCTACGGAGGCTCGGGCGCGACGCGGCCGAGTCAGGGCTAGGCTCGGATGAGTGTGCTCACTCAGGCGCGGGGGGGTGGCCTTGGTTCCAAACCTCTGCCGGCCGTCAGCGAGAGTTCTGACCTTGAGCGCCAGTCGCACGCACAGGTTCGTGGCCTGGTCTTACGGAGGAGGCGGGCTCTGCGCGTGCCCGGGATGAGGCGCAGGCGCTCTGAGCCCAGGGAGGTGAAGTGGCCGCGTTGGGAGACCCTGCGCCTTTCGGGTGTGATCCTGAGGGTGGCCTGTCCTTGTGTGGAGCTATAGTTCCCTCCATCTGCCCTTCACATGAGACAAGTCTCGCTAGGTCGCTTGCTCCGTTGCGCAGGTTAACCGTGAACGTGTTATCCTGCCTTGGCCTCCCAGAGTGCTGGGATTACAGGTGTGCATCATCCTGTCTAAGAAAAGTTTTTATTTATTTTTATTACGCAGGCGTTCTGTAAACTTGTGGCACAATATAAGTCGAATATGAAATTGGCCTTTTTGGCTCTCTTTGGTGCATAATTCAATGGTACCTTCGCTTTCTTTTTAGAGCCTTAAAAGAGATTATTTGTAAATGCTGTAAAGCACAATGCTCTAGAGAGGACGCCCCCACCACTGTGTGCACCCTGTGAACATGGCACCTCATTCTTCCCTGCCTGACCCTTGTCCCTTCCCTAGCATGGCTGTGTGCTTGGGCTGTAAGGGACACTTAGTGCTCCCGCTATGTTCCTGATCCACAAGTTCAATACCTTCCTTTGTAGGGCAGCGACAATGGTGCCCTGCCAGGTGCCCAGGTGGTCCACGTGGATCTTCCGGGCCTCTCCACAGTGGCAGAGGACAGCCTGTGCTCTTGGGGCCTCCATGGGACAGCAGAGGTGGCTGAGTTTACCCTGGCGAGTGTCTGGCCCTCTTGCCTTCAGAGGCTGCTCCTCCACAGCCCTTGGTGTCCCCAGGGTGATGCCCACCTCTGAGCGCTACCCTGTGCAGCGGCTGCCCTTCTCCGTAGTGTCTGAAGAGGACCTTGCCGCCTTTGAACGCATCATCCCAGGCAGGGTCATCACAGACCCGGAGGAGCTGGAGGTCGCCAATGTGGACTGGCTGAGGACAATCAGGGGTGAGTCAGGCCTGGGAAGTGGGTGAGTAGAGAAGTAGAATCAGGAAGTGGCTTCACTGTTTGTGATCCTTTTCATGCTTTTGAGGTCAAGTGGTGCGGGCATGGGTCTGAAGTTTGAGAATAAAATTTAGTCCAGTTTACAGGTGGTGTGTAACATTTGCAAGTGAACAGGTGGCATGTTCCCCTGAAACTGCTCTGTGCTCTTCCCAGCTCCTTTGTTGGTGTCTTGGGCTGCTGTAACCAAAGATCACAAATCAGGGGGGCTTACAACTGCTGAAGCTTCTTCGCTCAGTTCTGGAGGCCAAAAGCCTTGACAGGCTGCGCCCTCCAGGTCTCTGTGGAGGAGCCTTCCTGCCTTCCTGTTCCTAGGGGCCTGGAGTCCTAGACTCTGAGGACACCACTCCAGCCTCTGCCTACTCACCATCCATCTTTCCTCTTCTGTGTCTTACGGAGACCTTGTTTTAGGACTTAAGAATCCACCTAATCTAGGATGAGCTCATCTAAATTTTTTTTTTTTCAATCTCAAAATACCCCCAGGATTGAACCCAGGGCTTTCGTACTGAGCTGTGTACATACCCACCCTTATTTTTTATTGTGAGACAGTGTCATTGGATAGGGTCCAAGGGGGGTGGTGTGCCAAAGTTTAGATAAGAAAGGTAAATATGTCCTACCTGCAGAATAAATTTGCAATTTCACTATCATTGCAAAAAAAAGAATTTTCAGGACTGGTTAGTAAGAGACACAGAAAGGATTTATTAGGCAAATTAAAAAAAAAAACCCACTCAAATGGGGTATGGGGATTCTGAGAAATGAAAAGCATGATCTTTTGGAACTGGAAACATTTATGCTTCTCTCGTGGGGATGGAAACCTATGAAAAGATGGCCCACCTCCAAGAAGGATAATGGCCCATTGTATAGGTGGAAATATGACCTTAGTTTTTTTATATAATAAGATGGATAATTTAAGCATTCTTTGAATTCTCTCAGCCTGTTCCTTTATCTTAAGATTTCTGCTATTTACTTTTTTAATTAAGTGAATTATGGACTTACAGTATTCTTGAGGAGTTTGGTGTGTGTCTTTTCTCCCCTTGCTGAGACAAAATATTTGGCATGGAAAGTTAAGGGAGGAAAGGTTTATTTAGCTCGCAATTTGTGGAGGTTTCAGTCCATAATTGAGTGGATCCTTGTCTCCTTTTTACTTATCTTTATTTTTATCCTACCTCAACAGAGTCTTACTAAGTTGCTGAATTGCCCAAGTTGGGCTCAAATTTGGGGTCCTCCTATCTCAGCTCCCCAGAGTTCTGGGGTTACATGCATGCACCATCATGCCTGGCTGCAAGATCTTAATTATCCTATCACCAGAAAAATTCTATCCAAGTTGTTCCCCCGAAGAGGAGGTAGGGACCTCAGCCATCCCCATCCACAGCATAGGTTCTTGATTTCTCATGGAAAAGAATTGGTAGATTTCGAAAACAGCTGCCAGACTTGTCATGAGAGGCATAGATAGATTTATTAGCCAGAAGTATCTCCAGGAAGACAGGTCCTTACCCCACGGACTGGTGACTCTGCTCTTGGGTTTTTTGTCCTTGACAAAACATTTCAGCAAGACACACAGGCAGCCATGTAGAGTATAGGTAAAGTTTACCGCAAAGTGATAGATCTTCAGAGTGACACAGAGAGTGCATAACTTGAATCCTGAAGGTGGACAAGGGCCAAGATAGCAGTTACATCAAATTGGGGCTCATGTTACATTTATAGGACTAAATGGGGCTTCAAGGAATATTCTTTCCTTCTGCCAAGTTCATTGTTCTTTACAAGGAAAATGGGCTGTTGGACCAACTTCAGAGAGGAAAAGTTTTTCTTTCTACTCCATAGGTCTCATTTAGTTTGTTTGAAACTTTGAGGTTTTTGTACTCCTTCATTCTCACTTTACTTATTGCTGAGACACAGTATCCAACGCCCACAATTTAAAGGAATACAGGTTTATTTTGGCTCATGGCATCTAGGAAGCAGAGGGAATAAGAAGAGAGGAGCTGGGATTAAAGATAAACTCTTTCAGGCCAGGCCCTCATTGACCCTCCTCTTCCAACTGGACCCCACCTTCTAACAGGTAGTCAGCTATAATAAACCCACATAATCCAGTCGCCTTCCACAATCCCCACCTATGAGAGCATGAGACTGTTCGGGGAGGGTCACGTGGGTATAGACCATTACATGCATCCTTCTTCTTTTTTACCTTTTATGTTGCTTGGAATTGAGCCATTGCACTGAGCTATATCCCTATCTTAGTTACTTTCTTGTTGATGAGACAAAATACCTGAAACCTGCAAGTTTGAAGAGGAAAGGTTTATTTTAGCACACAGTTTGTAAAGGTTTCAGTCTATAATCAACTGACCAAGGCAGGGCAGCATGGCAGAAGAGAAAGCCTGCCTTCTTCCTTCCCTTTTATTCCATCCAGGCTAAAAGCCTATTGATTGCTACCCACACCCAGGGAGGGTCTTCCCTCTTTAGTAAGTCCACCATCCATACCAGAACTATGCTAAACCAGTCAGTGGACTAATCCAGCATCACACACCACCCAAAAGCCCCACCTGGGAGTGCATGAGGCCTCAAGGGACATTTTAGATATAAACCATGATAATCTCCAACCCTTTTAAAAAAAAATTTTAGGACAGGGTCTCATTAAGTTGTTAAATTGCTCAGGCCAAGCTGATTAGACTGTGGTGTTCCTGGGCCTTAGAAATGTTGGGGAGGGACACTTTTTTGTTGTCACCAACCTAAGTGACCTGGAAGGTGAGGAAGCCTGTGGATAGGAGTGGCATGTAGCTGTTTTTCTGCCCTGGATGTTAGAGGCAGTTCCCTCCTTGCCCAGATTTGGGTATTTTCCTGTCTATGTGCTCTTCACTTCTGGCCTCCTGCCGTGTGCTCTGTGGAGCTGGCACTGTGCACATGCTGGGCATCTGGAGACCCTTTGTTACCATCTTCCCCTTGGAGTTAGCTGAGGTGTGGTCTTCTCTGTGACAGGGAGACTTGAGGGGGGTGCATGGGACATTTCCTGTGTAGGGAGCTCAGGCTTTGCCAGGAAGCTCCCACCTCTGAGCCTCAGTCCTTTGTCTCAGGCCAGCATCTCCAGTGTGGCACAGCCCGCTCATCAAAAGACCTCACACTGGTGACAAGCAGATTCATGTCTTTCAGAATCAGGAAGTAAGATAGGAACTGTGTGGTGTTTGATTCTTAGGGTTGCACAAAGAGCGATGATTGCTTCTCCCAAGGGTCCCTACTGCCACCTGGGGTCCTTCTGGAGAAGCCAACAAGGCCAAGGGAAACCCAGCTGTTGTGGGTGGCAGTGGTTAGGCACAAGCTTAATGAGGCTGCTATCCACAATGTCTGGTGTAAGGTAGAGAAGGCAGTCTGAGGGAGGACTGCATGAGCCCCCCTCACACGCATGAGTAGATGGATGAGTAAACGCATCATGGGACCAGGAGAGCCCTTCTTTACCACAAATATGGTAGTGGACTGACTAGAAATCACCACCTGGCAGCTGTTGCAGTAGCTGATTTATGAGGAAGATCAACATATCCTAAAGTCATCAAGTGGCAGTTTGAGGAGCAGTAGAGCATTCAGTCTCAGAGGGAGACATAGTGACCTTGTGGTGGAGAAGCCTTTGTGGTTGGACACCTCTCAGCATGGGCCTAGCCGCCTTCACCCCAGCGGAGTGGAAGATGGCAGGATCTCCGCAGTTCTTCTGCATGTTCACTTCTACTGCAGCTGGACCTGCTCCCTGCCCACCTTGTCACTGGGTCCTGCCTTTCTCTTCCTGTCTTGTCTCTGTGAATGTGGGGCTCCATAGCTGTGGTTTGTGGGTCACCTCCCTGGGAAGAGCAGGTGCCTGGAGAGGTCACCCTTTCCCTTTAGCTCAGACAGGCATGTCCAGGTCACTTCCCTGGTGGCAGCTGATGCACTGTTCTCTGTCCCAGGCTGTAGCAAGGTGATGCTGAGGCCTCGGACCACAGAGGAGGTGTCCCGCATCCTCAGGTAATACTGAATGTGGTATCCCAGGTAGGGACACTTGGCATGGTTACAGGATCACACTTGTAGCACTGCTCCTGTGCCATGCTGCCTCCTGGGGTCCATTTTGTATACCCCTTTCCCCAAGCCCTCCCCCCACATTGGAGTCCTCACTTTAGATCCTCACAGAGTGAGCCTGGATGGGAGGAGGTGTCCTTGATGACCCCAAAGTATGGTCTGGGGCTGTGGGTCAGGGATGTGGGGATACTGCATTAGCAGAGGGACTATAGAGAGTGAGGGTGGTGGGATGTGGGCACCGTGGAACTTGCTGGGTTCTTAGGAGTCCCTTTCTTTAGAGGTGAGGCCCCTGAGAATGAGTCAGGCCACAATTACTGTCCCACCATGATCAGGGAAAGCATTAGGCACACAGGGTCTGTGCACCCTCACCGAGAGCTCTGCCTTCCTCAGACTTCCCAAGGGTGTATTGGGAGGAGCTTTGGAGAGGCTGAGGGCTGGGGCCACGTTTGGGGGGCAGGTGTTGGCCCTCTGCTATGGCCTTTGTGGCCAGTGGCCTGGGAGTGGAGGTGCTGGCCTGATGGCTCTCTTTTGCTCATCTCAGGCACTGTCACCAGAGGAACCTGGCTGTGAACCCGCAGGGAGGGAACACAGGCATGGTGGGGGGTAGTGTCCCTGTCTTTGATGAGATCATCCTATCTACTGCCCTCATGAACCAGGTCATCAGCTTCCATGATGTGTCCGGTAAGCTTGTGCTGCCCATTGGGCACCCACGTCCCTCCCTGTGCTTCTCAGGGTTGTCCTTCCTTGTCAGCCACCTGGACTGTGGTCAGGTGAGCAAGTGTGCACATCCCAGGCTGGCAAGGAACGGCAGCTGCAATTGGCTCTTTATCACTCTGGTCCTCTTGGACTCTAACACATTGTGGCCACATCAGCCTTTCCCATGGTGTGGTGACCGAGCAGTGCCATCTCTTCTTCTGGGGCATTTGGCCTAGGTCTTTCTTTGTGGCTGGGTGCTGTGACTGTTAGGGTGTTGAGCAGCAGCCTCAGGCTCCCCACATTAGATGCCTGCAGTGCCCACACTAGTAAGTATCCAGACATCAATAGAGGCTGCACAATGTGAGCCCAAGTGGAGGACACTACTTTGTAGTTATCTTTTTGCTCCATCAGTGTAAGTGTGTGTGTATGAATGTGAGTGTGTGTGTGGTTTTTCTCCACTTTTGCCTTTGCAGTTTTCCTTCTGCTAAGGTGACTTAGAGCCTGGACAGGGTAGAAGGGGAGGCCTCTTCCTCTGCCCTGCTCTGCAGCAGGCATTCCTTTTGGGTGGTTCACATCTGCAGAGTGGCGGGGCTGGCCCCGCAGCTCTGATAGTTCTTGTGCCCAGGAGCCATGGGCTGTGACACTGTTGTTCTCCGCAGGAATACTGGTCTGCCAGGCGGGCTGTGTGCTGGAGGAGCTGAACCGCTATGTGCAGGAGCGAGGCTTCATCATGCCACTGGACTTGGGAGCCAAGGGCAGCTGCCACATTGGGGGCAATGTAGCGACCAATGCGGGCGGTCTGCGGTTCTTGCGCTATGGCTCACTGCGTGGGACTGTCCTGGGCCTGGAAGTGGTGAGCTGATGCCAGCTTGGGCAGAGCCATGAAGGTCCTGCTGTAGGTATTTTTCCAGGCCCCAGGGATAGTATGGATTCGGGAGGCCACGTCAGTGGGTCAGGGCCATGACCCAAATTTGAGGTCCCATTATGCCAGCCCCTGGGTCTCACATATAACTCAGGGAGCCCTGCTGTGCTCCTCGTGCCCCAGATGGCGCATTCACAAGAGGAGCCATCAGGGGCTGCAGCACAGCAGTGTTCCACCTGGCCCAGACCTCCCAGTGTAGTGGTCAGAGCAGGGTGGTCAGAGCAGGGTTATTCAGGGGCATCAGTGCCAGCTTGTTTCCTGCACTGTCTTGAGTATCACATGTTGCAGTTTCTGAAGGGCAGGGATTTTTGTCCTATTTACTCAGGTGGAAGACAAACACAAAATCATGTTTATCCTTGAAATCACAATATCCCAATAGCTTTGTTTTCTGGTGGCCACTTTATTTTCATGGTACTTTGCCTCCTCCTAGTCTTCAGCTATCAGTGAGCCTCAGTCTCAAAGAACCAGCCAGCACACTTGAGGCTCAGAGTGCAAGGATTGTCTGGGTAAGGGGTTCCAGGGTAGGGGAAACCCCAGTGCATTACCCTTTCAGTTGTGCTTCCCAGGTGAGAGGCCCCAGGTGTGTTCCCTAGTTGTACTCTCCATCTGTGTTCTCCCCAGGTGTGTTCCCCAGGAGTTATCCTCTTCTTAGGCAGGCTTTCCTCTAGCAGCTGAATGAGTTTCCTGGGTGTGTGGTTATGGTAAGGTTGGGGAAGTCTTGCTCCACCTAGGAAGGAAAAACTTTCCTTTATCCAGCCAGGAGACCACTGGGGCCACTTTGCTTCTGGGGCAGATGGGAGCTCCTGGCTGTGGGTAGGGTGGGAGGGTGCTGTGGATTGAGGCACTATCCTCAGTGTGGATGCTGGAGAAGTGCAAAGGCAGATGTTGGAACTGGCCAGGGTGACAGCCTGTGTCCCCTCCCTGCCAGGTCCTGGCTAATGGCACTGTACTGGATTGCCTGACCTCCCTAAGGAAGGACAACACGGGCTATGACCTGAAGCAGCTGTTCATTGGTTCTGAGGGCACCCTGGGGGTCATCACGGCTGTGTCCATCTTGTGCCCACCTATGCCCAAAGCTGTGAATGTAGCCTTCCTCGGTAGGTATCCTTGGCTTGGTTGAGCTGGGTGGTGGGACGTATCCCATGGGCTGTCCAGGGCTGGCAGAGTGGGAAAGGGTGGGGCCTGTTTGTCTTGGCTGTCCCTGGAGCTCACAGAATATAGCTTCCAATCAGAGGCCTTTCTCTGTTTCCAGGTGAACATACTTTGTCTATAACCAAACTGAGGTTCTCTTGCACTTCTTTGCTCCATTGTGCTTGGGTTTAAGTAATGTGCAGTGAGGTTCAAAGGAAATGATGTCATTTTTTTGTATGTTTCAGGACGCTGATTTTTTTTTTTTCCTTTTTATCAGTACTTTAGATTGAACCTAAGGCCTTCACATTGGGCTATATCTCCAGCCCTTTTCAACAAGTTATAAATTTTGAAAACAGGTCTTTCTAAGTCACTACGTTGCCCAGGCTGGGCTCAAACTTGCAGTCTTCCTGCCTCAGTGCTCTGCTGGGTTACAGATGTGCCTCCCTGAGTCTGGCTAGGATGCAATCTTATTAATATTCATATTTTTTTCCCTTAACAAGATTTTTTACTTTGTAAAATGGCACAGGCATACCCCAGCAATGAGGTAGCAGGCACACAGGATAAAGGAGCGTTGCCCCATTTATCTCTAATACAGGGGAAACAGCTGACCTTTTCCCACATTAGTTGGATTGAAGGTTTACAATCTATCCCAGGAGGCTAGTTTAAGGGGTGTGAAGGCTTGTTGCTGGACAGGGTTAAGGGAGGGTAGAGTAGGGATTTGAGGCACTGAAAGTCCTTGGATGTTGAAAAGTTATCTTTAGCTCTTAGCTGTGTGTCTGGGTCTAAACTGAGCAGGTGTTTCTTGTAATTGGGTGTGTTGAGGAGAGGCTGTCTAAGGTGGGCTAGAATCCAAAATGGAGACACACTTTTTTTTTTTAAGAGACACTCTTGTTTGATGGAAAAGACAGAGCTATTGTTTCTCATGATTCCCTCCCCTTTAAGCTTTCTCACTCTTTTCTTCAAACTGTGAACAATTCATTCTTTGTGTTGTGTTTCTTTGTCAGGACCATGTTAGCTGGATGAGGTGGGTTCATCTCTGCTCTGCTGTTTGGACTGTAGTTTTGGTAGTCAGGAGCCTGGCCAGGTGACATACACTTAGCATCTGTGAACTCTAAGGCAAGCAGGTCAGTTGGCTACATTGCTGTCTGAATAGCTGTGTGTGTACATGGAAATATCTCCAAGACTTACATTACCTGCTTTTTATAAGTATAGCACAGAATTGGTGTGTGTTTCTATTTGTGACAAGGAGATATGTGTATACACACACACACACACACAAATGTAAATAGACATAGAAATGCAAACATATGCCACAAGCACATAAACATGTCATGTGTACATAGAAGTTTTCTGAAAGAATATATAAGAAGCTGTTGAGAACAGTTCCTTTGGCAAATTTATTTAATATAAAAATATAAATATAAATATAAAAATATAAATATAGTTTTCATTATTCACTGTATTGCACAACTTGAATGTCTTACTATGACCATGTGGAATAACCAGTCCTTCAAAGAATTAGCTGCTAGCAGCCAAGATTCCAAATTCCAGTTGGAGGACATAAATGCAAATCTATTAGAATGTCTTTGTCTCTTAAGAACCTTTGCAAAACTAAGTTCAAACAGATTTTCCACTCTACATTTCCTTTCTGGTATACAAAGCGGTTCTTCTCTGTGGAGCTGGCAGGGTCTGCATTTCATCCTCCTCAGCAACTGGGGTAGCTGCTGATTTTCTCAGCGTATATTTCCTGAGACCACTGATTTTTAGAAACCAAGCAGACCCCATGATAACCACAATTGGGGAAATGGTGTATTGAATTATGATTTTTCTGATTCAGACTCATGGATATACCCCTGTTGCCAGGCAAATGAAGACCAAGCAGGTTACTTTGGATACATTAATTTTGCATAGCGGTGTGCATTCCTGATGTCACTATGCCATTGTTTCTTTCCTCAGGGACATGGTCCTGCTCTGGAGTCCAGGAGATCTGGGTAGCTGGCTTGCCTGCAATACCAGTTTTTTTTCTCGCTTAGGAAGATAGTTGATTTTGGGGGCACTGACACTTTGGGTTGATGTCCAGGTTGGGAATTCCCACCAGATATTGCTGTTTCACAGCTGTTATTTACACTGTGAGTGACAGCACTGCATGAATCTGAAGGTGGGGGCTCAGGTCAGATCTGGAGGCCTTGTTGTCCTCCATCAGTGCAGCTGGTGTGGGCATTCTCCTCTTGTTTGGAAGGTGGTCTCTAGGGTTATTCTCACATTGCTAGTACTGCTCTTGTCAGTGGGAGAGGAGGCAACAGAATGCAGGCTTTGTACCTTCTGTACACACAGGAGGGTGTTAACTTCTGCGAGACTGGGGTGGGCTGTTTTTCACCTTCTGCTCTCATCCACCCATGAATTATTTGAATCTCATCCGGAGCACAAGGCCTGACCTGTACTTAATGATCTTCAAGCTGATCCACGGGACATCACAAGGTCAGAAGGGTTCTCCGCTGCTATCACTGAGAATACATCCATACCTCAGCCCTGCAGTCCATCCCTACTGTGCCCTGAATCTCTCTCCTTTTCTTTAGTCTTCTGAATGTTCCTTTTCATTTTTTTGGAATTGCTTAACTTCTTAAACTGTGGCTCGGTGCCTTTTATGGTTTGGGGAATTCCTGTGTTACTGCTTCAGGTCTTGGCTGTGTCTTCTTTGGGGACAGTTGCTGGACATCAGGTGGATTTGCAGCTGTCTCTGTGGCTCCTGACCTCCTTCCTGCTCTCCCTTGTGTGGCCCGAGTGCCACATGCTCAGTTCTCCCGTCCACCTTCCCATCCATGCTCGCTGCCTTTGCAGTGTTGCCTGTGTGTCCGAGCGTACCTTGGAGGAGCCTTCCTATCCACTGGATATAAATTTGATGGTTATAGTTTTCATTTCTAGAAGTTTTATTCATTTTTTTCAAATGTGCACTATCACTTTTCATAGTTGTATGTACATGCCAGGTATTTTAAACCTCTGCCTGTCTTCTCATGCAGCCAGTGTGATTTCTGTGGTATTGTGTGGTAGGCAGCTCAGTGTTTGGGGTCTGTGGTCTATGGTGCCAGCTGTCCCTGAAGCTCTGCTCGAGGCACCCAGTCTTCTGTGTGTGAGGCTTCCTGGCAGTGCTAGCTCATTGCCATGAAGAATGCTGTCTGGGATTTGAGGAGGCTGAGGTGAAGATGCTGTCCTTGGGGACAGCCTTGCTTTTGCTGGCTGTTGCTGGTCACTCTGATGCTTGGGCTTGTGTAGCCTTTCTACTGTGGGGTCTGTGGAGCTGCTCACCCATCAGCATATCCTTTCTGTCACTTAGCTCCCTGGCTTGGGGCTGCGTTGGTGGCCTCTATCTTGGAGCACTTTGGAGACCTCAGGGTGTCCACAAACTTGGAAGAGCAAATGAGACTGGCTATCAATTATGCTAAGAGAAACTCAGAGAGCCACTTTCAAAGGCTGCCCCTCGCTGGCCACACATGCAGACTCCAGGTGTGACCCCTCTGGATTCCCCACCAGCTGAGTACCACGTGGCAGTTCCTAGGCATGTTTCCTGTCCGACCTGGACTCTGGAGGTGACCTCCAGACAGACCTGTTGGCCAACATGTAAATGTCCCCCGTAGCCTGAGCCTCCTCTCCTCACTTGGCCTTGCAAGTTGCAAGGATGTTGGATGTTGCTGCCTTTCAGGGGGATCTGGCACCTACAGATGTGGCTCTGAGTTCCACTGTCCTTGTGCTGCATGGCCATGATGCCCTGTGACCTGTTGTAGGCTGCCCGGGTTTTGCTGAAGTTTTGCAAGCCTTCAGCACCTGCAAGGGGATGCTGGGCGAGATCCTGTCTGCGTTCGAGTTCATGGATGCTGAGTGCATGCAGTTGGTTGGGCAGCACCTCCACCTGGCCAGGCCTGTGCAAGGTACAGCCACCCCTTCTGTGGTCGGCACAGAGGTCCCCAGGTAGGAGGAGGGGCCCTGGCACCAGCAGGGCTGCTGAGGCAGTGGGAGGGGCCTTCTCGGGGTGACCCTGGGGTTGAGCATTTCAGGGGTGCAGTGCCTCTTCCAGGAAACTTGGGCTTGGCAAAAGGCTGCTGCTCACAGACCACCTCCTTCCGACTCTGCATCCCAGAGCTTGGATTCTACAGGTGAATCCATTGGGCCTGGCTCACTGTGCATCTCTGCCTCTTCCAGAGAGTCCTTTCTACATCCTGGTTGAGACTTCGGGCTCCAGCGCAGAACACGATTCAGCGAAGCTGGATGGCTTCCTGGAACAGGCACTGGGATCCGGCCTCGTGACTGACGGCACTGTGGGCACTGACCACAGCAAAATTCAGGTGCCCTTGTGTGGCTTGGGCCCTCTTCCCTGCCCTGTGCAGCCAAGGTGTCTGATGGTGTGGTTGTCCTGCATGGCTGAGGAATGGGCAGGAGTCATGTGGATAGAGAACTACATGGGAGGGAGAGTGTTTTCATAGGGCCCAGATAATTTTCATCAGTAAACAGTATTCCGTCACCCTCCCCACCCCAAACTGCAGGTGAACAAAGCAGTGGGGCTGGTGGGGAAGCTGTGGGTCACTGTCATGGAGGCCTGGTTGGTGGGGTATTGTGGGGCAGTTTCTTGGCACCTGGCAGTGTGCAGCTGTTGTCTCCCAGGTGTCCTCCCTGTCTTTGGCTGCAGTGTGGTGAGTGGCCAGCAGGGGGCAGGGTGGCTGTGGGTGTGGTCTCTGTACAGAGAGGGTCTGGATGTCCTGTTTGAAGCCCATTCAGCCTTGGGCTTTTGACTTCTCAGGTACAGGACTCCCCGTACCCTCTGAGGCACCCCATTCTGAGGGACACATCATTGCCTTGCTCTGCAGTCCTGGGATTGGAGCTTGGTGACAGGATGTTGCTCTTGCCAGCCATGCGCCTTAGTGTTCCCCCTTTCTGACATGGTGGTGCCGTTTCTGCCTGTGAGGACATGCCTGTGTCCTGGGCATCTCCTTTGGAGCCTTCGAGGAAAGTGTCCCTGAGTGGTGGACACCGGTCAGCTGCCCTCTGGCCCAGTCTGCACCCAACTGGGTGCATGTAATAATTGTGGTTCCTCTCAGGGTCCCTGATTCTCTGAATATCATTGTCCTCAGCCCTGGCAGGTCATCTGTGGTGACAGTGGCCACAGGTACAGAGATGCCCTGCCCACTGCCTTGTGCAGGTGCCTGCATTCTCTTTTGGGAACCATGTGCAGTGGTTGCCTGACTTGGAAAGGGATCTCCTTGGCCAGTGCCACCCAGGAAGTGCTTTTAGTCTTGCACTACCCACTGTCTCCCTGGGGGCCTGTCCCCAGCCCCTCCATGTCCTTCATTTGGCCCCACAGTTGACACAGGGCCAGCAAGTGTGGGAGTGGTGGCTGCATGGTCCCTTTCACTCCTGCCCGCTGCACCTGCAGGCTTCCCGGGAAAATCCTGAGAGGTGCAGTTCCATACCTGTACCCCTCCCACTGTTGCTGTTGGTGGATCTATAGCACTGTGCATTGGCCATGTTTGCATGGTACAGACCATGCAGGCCTCTTGGAGCCATCTCAGAAGCCTCTCTGTCAGTCTCACATGGGACGGACTATGGGGAAGTGCTATTTGTGTTTGGGACCTTTGGGATTTTTCCTCTGGAAGCTCTGAGTTTCTGATATGTCTTGCAGATGGGCCTCATGTTGGTCTGCAAGAGCCAATATTGTGTGATTAAGAATTTGATCCCCAGTACCAAAAAAAAAAAAAAAAGTCCCTTGGGCACCCTGCCTGGCCACCTTCCCTCATCTGATGGTTGGAGGCCTATGCTATGTGGACCTGTGGCCAGCAGGTATGGTCTATATTACTTGCACTTCTCTATGCTTTCATTCATCAGCCAACACTGGCTGGATGGGCTAGGCTCCCTCCTGGCTGGACTGTCACAGTGACCTGGAGAGCAAGGGCTGTGCCTGCATAGCCTACAGTCAGGACCTTGTCACTTTTCAGTCTCAGGGTAGTGGGGCCTGGAGTGTTCTGAAGGGCATTTGAGCCAGGTCAGGTGGAGCCTGCATGTTCTAGAAAATTTCTAGCATGGAGGGACTGGAGCAGAGTGGGTTGGGGGAGCTCTGGCAGCAGCATCTATCTGGACCCCTGAGATCCTTGAGGTAGATGGGGTGACTGGGTATGGAGTGACCAGGCCTCTCTGAACATCAGTAAGAACTGGGGACTCAGCATGGGTGAAAGGTCAGTGATGAGGGGTCCTGTGTGTGCTTCAGGGTTAGTACACTGCTGTGCTTACTTTAAAGGAATTGCAGTCCTCTTTGAGGTTCTACTCTTGTAGCCCCTGGAATGATTGGGGTCTGTGTAGGGTTCCAGGTCCTGTTGGGACAGTGCCTGGTGGGAGAGGGGACCCAATAGCTGGGAGATTCATCTCTGTCCTTCTGTGGGCCACAGAGTCCCAAAACCAAACAAAAACCAAGTGGACCACAGAGCCGTTTACCTGAATAAGCTGCCTCTCCTGACCCAGTCCTTGGCCCCAGACCTCTCCCTGGGCCCCACTGCTCCAGCCACCAGTCTGTCCCTTCCTTGCCCACAGATCCTTCAGGGCCCTGTGTGTCCACTCCTTTTCCACCTGCACTTTCTGCCTCTGGTCAGCCATCCCAGGACATTTCAACTTGCAGCAGAAGGATGTCTGGCTTCTCCCAGGAGGGCCCCTCAGTCTCAGTGTTGTCCTGGAGTGAGCCTGTGGTGGTTTGGGTTGTGGTCCAGGGCCTATGCCTGTAGACAGGGAACATGCTGTCACCCTGGAACCTGGCTGCCTACTGACAGTGGCACAGGAACAGTCATGGTGATATGTGATATGTGACATCTCTTCTGTCCTAGTCGCTGTGGGCCCTGAGGGAGAGGATCACAGAGGCACTGAGTCATGATGGCTATGTGTTCAAGTACGACATCTCCCTCCCTGTGGAGCGGTTCTATGACCTTGTGATGGACCTGCGCGGCCGCCTCGGCCTGCGTGCCAAGCACGTGGTGGGCTATGGCCACCTGGGTAAGCTGTGCAGGCTCTCAAACACCTGTGGTGGCTTCCACAATGCTGGAGGCTGAGGAAATGCTCCCCGCCTTGGCTCCTGGCTGTTGTGGGAACAACCATGCCATGTAGTTTCAGTGGCTGTACCTGACCAGCTTGGGGCCTGGGTATGCTAGGATGTGATAGAGGGTGTGGCCTTTACCCAGGGGTATCAGTGTTTGATTCACAGGCCTCACTCTGAAAGAAGGGTATCAAAGCCCATGTCAAGTGACACAGTGCTGCAGATCACATGTGGTAGGGAGAAAGTGGCCCCAGCCTCCCTGGCCTCCCTGGTCCAGGGCGTCTCCAGCCCATTTTCAGGGTGGCATCGTGGCAGGTGCGGCACTGGATGTGGAGCTTGGCCTTGTGGTAATGGGGTCACTTGTCCAGATCTCTGTGAAAGGGGCTCAGGTGCTGCCCTCCGTGGTCCAGAAGGGATTGAAGGATGGGGCAGGGCCTCGGCCATCCAGTATAGCTCTCCAGGGCTCATCCTGCCTGGGCACCATTCGCCCTGGAAGCGGAGAAACCTGTGCAATTGAGGGCAGGGTTGCCACTCTCCACTTCCCACAGGCAGACAGGCACGGGGAACCAAAAGGAGCCAGTGTGGAGGGCCTGGGGCACTTTAATCACTGCAGATAGAAGTGGGGCAGCACAGGCTGCACACTCCTGCGTGGGGCTTCCTAGCAGAGTATCGGCCTGACCACCTGCCCTTGCTCCCAGGGGATGGCAACTTGCACCTGAATGTGACAGCAGAGGCCTTCAGTGCAGCTCTGCTGGATGCCCTGGAGCCCTATGTGTACACCTGGACAGCTGCACAGCGAGGCAGCGTGAGTGCTGAGCATGGACTGGGCTTCAAGAAGAAGGATGTCCTGGGCTACAGTAAGCCGCCCACTGCCGTGCAACTCATGTGGCAGCTCAAGGCTCTGCTGGACCCCCAGGGCATCTTGAACCCCTATAAGATGCTGCCTGCCCGTGCCTGACCAGCTTCTGCCAGATCTGTGGGGCAAGGAGATAGGTCCTGGCAGGACCTGTGGGTGGTCCTGCTGATGTGGGCAAGCAGAGCCCCTGCCACAGCTGCCTGTCCTCAGTGCTTCCTGCCGGCTTGTTCTGGGTAGCCGGGTTAGCACCCGCTGCCCACTGTGATGTGGTGAGTGCCAGAGACTGTGGGCAGAGCTGAGACACCCCAGAGGCCCAGCCTCAAATTGGTGACAATGACCTGGAGTAGTGGGGTGCTGCTCCCTGGGCACTAGTGGAACCTGGCTGGCAGGCTGAGGTGAGTGGGTGACCATGATTGCATCTGAGCCCTAGTGATAGGTGTGTATGTCTTCCCTCTTCTGGAAACCCTGCCCAGCAGGATGTTGGTCAGGCTGGTGGCCTGTTGTGATTGCTGAGTTCTTCAGCAGGGGATGGACACAACCCCCCTGCAGCCATGGCCTGAGAGCCTCACTGGTGTACCCAATTGCCTTGTACCCTGCCATTGGGCAGGTGGTACATGCGTTTATTATGAATTTCTAATAAAGGTGACTCAGTCATAGCCCTCTCCACATTCCTGTCGCTGGATACATGTCTGGTGGAGCCGTGAGGTGCCTGTTGTCACATCCCCAGTACCCCAGCATTGGGGATCAGTGCTGCTCAGGATTGTCCTGTCCCTGTCCCCTCTTCTGGAATTGAGCTGCTGCCTGGGTGGCAGAGGTCAGCCAGTAGGGAGGTGGCTCGTGTGGCCCTCATGGATGCCTGCCAGGGGTACCTGAGGCTTCACCTGCTGCCCCTTGAGACTGCCTGTTGTCAGGGTCTTCTGGCTGTGGCCATGTCCTGGTGCAGGTGTGTCATTCTGGAGTGGTCTCTGCCCCACTAGTATTAGGGTGTAGGTCATAGGTCAGAGGTCAGTTTCAAGCCCATGTGCTGGCCCAGCTGTGGCTGCTGCCAGACCTGGCTAAGTCCTTAGTGGCCACAGCTGCTGGGCCCCCTTCCACCAATCAAGTTCCTGCAGCAGCCCTATGGCATGCACACAGAGGATGGGCCCTGCATAAAACCTGGCTGTGTGTGTGTCCTTCCAAGGTTGGCTCTGGTTGCTCTCAACTCTAACGTTCTGTGTGGAGGCTGTCCCTTCCCATATATGCTGGCTCTGCTGGCCACATGGTCCTGGGTGGGCAAGAGTGTGGGCAGCACAGCTAGATTGTGAGGTTTTCAGACTGATGCTATCTGTTTGCAAGTCCCTTGTCCAACCATCCCTAAGTGGGGCCCCTACTCTCAGACTTTACCCCAGTTATGGTCTCTGCACTGAGACCACTGCAGGGTGAGGCCCAGGCCCCCACATGGATGCTGGTGCCTGATTCAGGTGCCTGTTGAGGGTAGAGGACAGGGCCTGGCGTGGGGCTTGAGTATGGGTTGGGATGCACCTTGCCCTTGCCCTGCTG